TGAAAATGGTACAATCAAACTGACATTATTTGCTGACAAGGGTAAAATAAAACTGACATTATTTGCTGACAAGGGTACAATCAAACTGACATTATTTGCTGACAATGGTACAATAAAACTGACATTATTTGCTGACAAGGGTACAATCAAACTGACATTATTTGCTGACAAGGGTAAAATAAAACTGACATTATTTGCTGACAACGGTACAATAAAACTGACATTATTTTCAGACAAGACAATGGTACAGTCAAACTGACATTTAGTAACAATGGTACAATTATGCTGACTTTATTTACGTACAGTTGTACAATCAAAATGACGTTTTTACTGTCAATGGTACAATCATTATATTCCAGATCCGGATTGCCCACTTCAGCTCTCGTCACAGCCAGAGTTTGCAACAGAAGCAGAGCTGTTTACTCTGTCATGTAGAGACAGCGGGGACATAACGACAGCGCGATGGTATCGAGACTCAACTGAAGTGTTCCAAACAAGCATAAACAACCCAACAAGACACTTCACGTTCGACAGAATCATTGCTGGACGTATAACTGCTGATGCAAACTTAACAAGACATAACGTCATGTTGGAAGTCAACTCTACTATTGATGAAGGAGCTAAATGGTCATGTAGAAACGGAAATAAATCAAATAGGAAATGACTGTTTGCTTCTGAGCAAAACATACTTGTAAGTGGGTGAGTGAGTGAGTGAGTTTAACGCAGCTTTGATGGCAGTTTCAGTTATGGTATTGTTAATGAATGATTATTACTCTACAAGACATATATGTGCCCCCCTCTTCATCCCTCACTTTGAAGTTGAATGAATCTCAAAATACATTTCGTGTATGTTTTGAAATCTAAAAATCAAATATTTACCCGGAGAATCTAATGACACTAAAAGTCGCCAATAACCCAAGAATCATTTAGAATGTTTTAGAAAACAAGAAAGCCGAAGTGAACACTATCCTCCGTTTACATAATCACGTGTCACGTGTATGCCAGTTGTGAGATGCCTCTTTTCAAGTATATTTCAAACACGGTTGATATACATACATCCCTGAAACTCTCATACGTGAAATAGCTGTGAAAAATTATATGAATGGGATTTTATTGAAAAAAAAACAATATTGTCCACGAGAATTCTTGAAGAAAATAGTTATAGTTCAGATTGATGGGTGTAGGCGTCAACAGCGCTGCTAAGCCAGACATACCAAACGTATCTGCACCATTTTCCATGACGTCACTAACTGACAACATTATCTCATAGTGAGTGAGTGAGTATGGTTTTACGCCGCTTTTAGCAATATTCCAGTAATATGACGGTGGAGGACACCAGAAATGGGCTTCACACATTGTACCCATGTCGGGAATCGAACCCGGGTCTTCGGCGTGACGAGCGAACGCTTTAACCACTAGGCTACCCCACCGCCCCCATTATCTCATACTAATGGTGAACTTTATCTTCATTTTCACTATGTGTTTCTTCATTTTCTTTCTTAAGCTGTCAGTGGGTAATAAATAGAACTGATTATCATTATCTCTCTGGTGATTGACGGTTGTTAATAGGCGGACAATGCATTATCACCATAAACCCCAACACTTAAAGGTATTATGAAATGCAGCATGCAATAGGTTTGATGAACAGAATAGTCATTCACCCTCGTTTACATGCACATGGTATTCGGCAACTCTAATGTCTGTAACTTTCTTGGCAGGATAATATAGAAGGATGATGTATTTAACTGACTAAGAAACCATGTATTTCATAATCAACACGCGAAGGGCGGTATTAAGTCTATCAAAGTATCTGAGTACGCAGACTGTAACTTCACAGTGTAAAGATAATGCTAGGCCTTGCCATCGTGGGTATTCTATAATGGATCGGATGGACATGCTCGGTTATAAGGTTGATTGCATGGACCCCGACGACTGGGAGGCTGCTCACATCATCACTGGACTGTCTGGTCTAAACTCGACTATTTGCAGGCCGCCGTCATAAAGGTGGAATATTGCTGAGCTTGGCGTTTAAAAACAAACCAACCAAGTACATGCATTCATATTATATTGACGTCAAAAATTTCAGATCGAGGTTGCGACCTTTAAAAATTACATCATGATAACGGACACTTCGTTCGGGCGTTATAAATCGCCCTACACCCTAAAAGAATGTCGATTGAGCGGAAAGGGGGAATTAATATAAGGGTAATGCTATTTTTCAGGGCATTATCATTTACAGAAGCCCTCAGTCTTTTCAATAGGCCTCCTTCGTCGGGCAGTTAATGGAAGACCTCGAGCTTCTGCAAATGATAATGCTCTGTAAAATGTTACCATATGTGCACCACGCTAAAACAGAAACAAAATCACCAAAGGTTTAGACTTTTCCGCAATAAACATTGGCCTAATCAAATGCCCTAGCTACAACCTATTCTGGTGAATAAAACGAATTCTTGCAACCTAAAGCTCTTCGACACTACTTTATACTCCAACTTCAGTTTTATCGTGTTGGCCTTTTTGTCAACTTGCACATAAAATAAACATATTTTGACACACTGTCGCTAAGGTTGTCGAGTCGAAGGTATTACTAATCTAATGAAGAGATTATTTAGATCTATTTTAGTATCCAAGCTGCAAAGGATGTAACTGTCAAGCATCTGAGTAAACTGTCCAAGAATATAAACTTCTGAGGAGACATGAACGTATTTGATGTGGTTATATTGGACATGAGTGTCTGTCACTTGCTAAAAAAATCCTCTTTTTAAAAAAACCAGGGGCCCTAAGGAGTCATATTCTGAACGATTGAGGGGGTAGTTTTGTAGGTCACACACAGCCAAATGTTTTCCCAAAGACTTCTATTGTAACGTTATATATTTTTTTTAAATAACTAAGCATTCAACAGCTATTACCTGTATGTGTGTGCACAGTTTGGCCTTAGAGCAGCAATAAAAAATAAAAATGACTAGCTTAGCCAGCTCCTTTTCCGAGTACAGGAAGCTAAACACAACACCCCCAGTTTCGCACCAAATGTCCCCTACTTGAAAATATCTGTGGTCACATTCAGCATAAGTCATCATGTTGAAAAAGACAGTACTAAATATAGAAAAACATGGTCAGATTTAATAACTGGATGGATGTACATTTGAAAGACATAAAAATCTTACAGAATATCCTCCAATCACAGCCTGCAAATATCTCTCGATCTGCACTGAAGGCTGAGGAAGAATTGTTTTCCATGATGCAACATAACGTTACATTGCTGACAGTTTAAACATGAGGTCACACGTACCAAGTGACACGGTGCGTATACACCCTATGTACCAAATAACTTTATTAAAAAATACAAGAATTGACTTTTTATTTGTGTGAGTTCACTGGAGTATTAACCTTCATTTCTCATGGGAAATACGGAATATATACACGATAGGAATTATTTTTACTATTATTTGCGGACGATATTATATTATTCTCAAGTAGTATTGGCGGCTTACAGACACAAATTAACGAATTAGAAAAATACTGTGATGAATGGAAATTATCCGTAAACAAAGATAAAACGCAGATCGTTGTTTTTAAAAATGGTGGAGGCTTGCTCAAAAGGAAAAATGGTATTACAAAGGTGAACGCTACCTCTTTCTACAAGTATTTAGGTGTATATTTTACAAAACATCCTTCTTGGTCTATGCATGCAAAGCAAGCATCGATGCAAGCGCAAAAGGTATTAATTGGTGTGTTAAAACAAATCTATACTCTTGGAAATATTACTTACAAGTCTTTCTCAAGATATTTGATTTAAAGATAAGTCCGATTAACTATATGGAGCAGAGGTATGGGGACTCAGTAAGCTTGAAATAATAGAAAAAGTACATTCATATGCCTGCAAGAAATTCCTTGGTGTTAAGGTTAATACACCAAGTGTTATGGTATATGGTGAATGTGGCAGATTTCCAATCTATATATATACATATATTATATATTGGTTAAGATTATTGGATATTCCATCTCATAGGTTCCTGAAAAAATGTTATAATATGCTTGTACGCTTTGATAAAAATGGATTGGGTAACAGACGTAAAAGACTTGCTGTTTTCCGTTGGTTATGGCTTTCTATGGTGTAAACAAAATATACAATGTCATTCTTATTTCATTATATCATTGACACAAAGACTAAAAGATATATATTTACAAAATTTGTCTCAATCTGTATCTGAATGAAACAAATGTGTTTATTACAATATGTTAAAAAGTGATTTATATCCCGAACAGTATTTTTCTTGTTTCAATGTAAAACAATTCCGGGTTTCCATAGCAAGTTTTCGATGTTGTTCACATGATTTATTTAATGAAACTGGACGTTACACGGTTATTAAAAGAGAAGAATGCATTTATCAATTGTGCTCCCTAAATGACATTGAAGATGAATACCACTTCCTTCTTATATGCCCATTTTATGCAACATTAAGGGCTAAGTATATACCTGAATATTACCATGTCAATCCCAATTTCTTTAAAATCACATCGCTGTTAAACAACTCTAAGTTCTTACTTTTACAAAATGTATCTATGTACATTTATCATGCAATGAGACACAGGAAAAATATTATGTTACAGACCCTACTGCTATGAATATACAATTATAAATGTGCTATAGGCCTGTGGCCTCCTCAGTACGGAAAGAATGAAATCGAACAGATAGGAATAGGAAGTATGTGAGTAGAGAAGTAGAAACAACAATGTATGTCACCCACTTTGCAGCCAGCACTGCGTCAAAGACTGATCAACAAACTAAGGAAATGACTCAGTTCAGTTCAGTTTATTCATGATAAGTAACTGTGAGGCCACTGATCCGTAGTATAGAACACATTTCAATGTGGAAACGTTGAAAAGTTTTACAAGGATTCATTTTTTAATAATATGGCATGATATATAAAGAAATATATATATACTGTATATTTCGTATTGTCGTTATGCTCACATGTGACATTAAAGATATTTATAAGAAAATGACGACGATGCTGTTTTCCAGCACCACAGTCGACACTAAGGAGGGTAAAGTAGCAGGTTCGTATACGAAGAAGATTGTAATTCAAACCAACTTCATACCAGAATGAGCGATTTTACGGATCAAACGTGACAATCACTTTACTCAGAAATACACTGCACACTATCACTTGTAAATCATATCAAAACGAAGAAATGTTCTTCTGATTCAGTGTAAATAAAGTAAGGTTAAAATGCCCTTCGCTATTTTATGTAGATTGTGTGTTGTCACGACATAACTGGAACAGTCAGCTTATATGACTAAACCCACAAGCAATCCATTCTATGGCAAAGAACGTGGGAAACAGAAATGCTTTTATGAAAGTTGTATGGGCATTGACCAGCAAGGAGCATTGTTATTGTAAAATTACTAAAATGTGTTCATACACATGTGCTCCATACTACGAATGATTCAGAAAATATTTCTTTAAAAGCACGTATTGAATTATGTTATCCATTTTCACAACAGTTCATTAATATAACTGTATTATTAGCTCAACGTCTTAAGAAAAAAACATAGGTCATGGTTGCCGAACTGTTCTTTACTTGTACCTACATCTAAGGAACAGGCCTGATGCTGAGGGGGATGAAGAATTAAACACTTTCCTTATTACACAAAAAATGCATTAACCCTTTATATATGTCTATTTGTAATTTCGTCATCGACAGGAAAATGATCGATATCTATATGTGGTCATGTCCCAATGTTATATAATACAGAATAATGTGTAAAGAATTAGCTATATAATTAGGTGTAAAACATTCAGTGTACTTCATGAATCAAGGATGAGTTTCACAACACTTTCAGTTCATTTCAGTTTATTCATGATAAGTAACTGTGAGGCCACAGACCCATAGTATAGAATACATTTCAAACGTTTTACAAGGATTCATTTCTTAATAATATGGCATGATATATAAAGAGATATATATATACTGTATATTTCGTATTGTCGTTATGCTCATATGTGACATTAAAGATATTTATTTGGATGCACATAGTATTTTTGTTAAATATATTCTTTCCTTAAATGATCATATTTACAACATACAAGCAAAGCGTTAAATTCATCTTCGACGCAGTTAAGGAACATTGTCTACATAATCTTAAACATAATGTTTTTTTGTGCCTGCCATCTTCAATAATTTATCTGTGTGAGCTACATCTGCATTTTTATATTTTCATCTGTTAAATATTTTTTTAGCGCAAATTTGGTTTTTAAAATATCTATCGTATTCACATTTGCTAGAAACATCTACAAAAGATCTCCTTGCTTGAAAGTCAGAACAGAAAGTGTCTGTCTTATTGACGATACAGACAAAGCATGATTCTCTAAGAACATTTATACAGTAGACATTTAACATTGAATGCCCAATTTTAAACTCCATTTGTGTCATACAATAACATCACACTATAACATTTTTGCGTAATCAACTTTCTGGCATTTTCAATCATTTTAAACAATATTTTATTATATATATAAGAAGTATTATGTTTAACTGCAAGTAATCTTTTACACAATCATATACATATACAGATTTAATTTCTTTAGCCACTGCAAAACCCCATATTTCAGAACTTTTGTAAATTCCCAATAATATTTGCTTAGATTGGATGACTTCATTACACATGTGTCGGTTCCATGGTAGTTTACCTGAAAAGATACTGCACCAAGATATGTATAAGCGGTTACAGTTTGAAGTACATGTCTCCTAAAGTACCACTTTCCATTCTTTGACAACCTATTTTCTTTGATAAACTTAACAATCTTTGTCTTGTCCAAATTGACGTTAAGTTTCCACGTATCACAATAAAACACGAGCTGATCAAACTATCAAAGTTGGTTAACATTTACAGTACTTGAAACCACAATGATATCATCTGCAAATAGGAACATAAATATAAAAGTTCAGGATGTAGTTGTGTACCATCATCATAATTTCTTTTGATTTGAGCTGCATGCTCTTTAATAATTATTTTTAAAAAAACAGAACAAAAAAGGGCCTAATACACATCTTTGGCATACACCAGTATGGCAGATACAAGAATCTGAACACATGTAATTTTGTTAACACACGATTTAACTTCTTTATAAATGCTACTTAACAATTTCTCCATTCTATTACTGACACCATGTAAAGTCGGAAAATACCATAACATGCCTTTACAGACTGAATCGAATGCTTTAGGAATGTCTACACATTTAGCGTACAATTGTCCATGTTTACGTTGAATGTATCTATAAGAGCCTGGGGGATAAATATATGATCAGTGGTGGAGTTACCTTGTCGAAATCCTCCTTTGTTCTTCCTCAATATTAACAAGTTTACCCGAACACAATACCAAGCACTTATTAATCATTCTAAAAAATATCTTACTGAATATACTGATGAGAGTAATCACCCTGTAATTTTCAACATCTGTCACTGAGCCAATCTTTGTGGATTGAAACAACAGGTACCAAGTGTCCATTATTTGGAAAATATGAGGTATCCATTATTGCATTAAATAATATTTCAAAATACGGCAGGATGGTGAGTACGGCAGAGTATTTAAATAATTCTGCTATTAGTCCATCAAATCCAGGAGTTTGAATAGTGGATTTGATTTCTTCTTCTGAGATTGGGGAATCTAAAGTTTCCGTTGCAAAAATTGTTTCGTCCTTATCAAAAGAGTACAAATGCAAGTTGTCTGTGGAATCAGCACAGCCAAAAAAAAAAGATTTGTGAAATAATTAAACCGCTCCTACATTTCTATGTTACTTTTAGTTTCCTGCCTTTTGCTAATATTTTTTAAGGTCGTCCAAAATAGTGTTGATTAACTGATACTGACTTCTAGTGTTTTCCGTTTCTATTCATAAAAGTCTGTTGTTTTTTTCTCCAAAAAGCTTTATACTTGTTTTTCGAATCCGCATACTTATCAAGAGAATCTTGATCCTTTATTTTCCTGATATAGTTTAAAAGAATCTTTCCTTCTTTAACAACTCACATTCCCAGTCAAACCACTGTTTATTTTCTCTGTTGGGGGTTACTTTCCTTTTCATTACATTCCCTGCATTTGCAATAGCTTCTGTAAAGACGATTTCAACATTTTCATCAATATGTAACAGAATCAATAGCTCTATGTATAAGGTGAGAAGGTGTCTGATTACAAACGTTCTGAAGATTTTCTGCTTAATTTGCAACATATTTCTTGCGTGTATAAAACCTGGGGCCCCATTATTTCTTTCAGCGTGTTTTGGAACAAAGTATGTTTTCATTAAAACAAATGCCAGCACCCGCGATATCCGCTTCCCAGAATATCTCATGGAAGACCCCTCATTACACGCTGTGTGTGTATGCCCATGGTATAACTGTTATAAAAGTGATAACTAATAAGGCACGGAATATTGTTATTGAAAGCAGGGAAACATATTTATCAGGTTCAATGCCCTAAGTATTCCTAAATCAGCAGTGACAGGTACTTACATCAATACTCTTATGTTACTAACTAATGCTAATCATATACCGTTATGTTACAGGTAGACCGGACAGTGTTAAAAAGATGTAACTTCACTTTGGATGAATCACTGACATTATAAACCTTCCATGACCTCATCTTATTGTGTTCACCAATGTGTTCTCCTTGTCAGTAAAACAAGTCGAGTTCATGTCACATCATTTATATATGATTTTCCACTTTTGGAATTATATATTCTAAAAAGAATGTTTGCCAGTAAAGTGTCAAGCTCTGTGTACGATTCGAACTGTCCCATTCCACCTCTTTGATTGCTGAAATGTATCTGCTTTGATATCAATGTATTCGGATGAAGTGAGTGAGTGAGTGAGTATTGTTTAACACCGCGTTTAGCATTATTCCAGCAATATCACGGCGGGGGACACCAGAAAGTGGCTTCACACATTGTGCCCATGTCGGGAATTGAACCCAGGTCTTCGGCGTCACGAGCGAACGCTTTAACCAGTAGGCTACAAGACCGCCCCTACTAGGCTTCAGAGGTCGCCTAATTCGCAGTGTAGAGTTACGTCTCTTTGGAGTGCCAGAAGCCTACGATCGTGGGTTCGGATCTAGAATCGTCAAGATTATGTTTCTAAGTTTGTCAGTGTCATACCTGTGTTCGTGGGTTGAAGTCTCAGACAAAGCGACGTTAAACCCATCTCACTCACTGTATAAGATTGTTCGGTTACATTGTCGTCAAACCAACATGCTTTAACATCTGTATGTTATATCTCTGTTGGGATAAGGTATTCTCCTTTGATGAATGGTATAAAGATTTTTACATCATCGATAAAACATTAACGTTATGCATTGTATACAGTGATATACATATGTGGTATGGTGGAGTTTTGTTCCTGGCATGTATACAAAATACATGTATATGATAGCTTACGGATATTTCTAGGACGCGTCTAGAAGGCCCAGAAGACCAGGGAAGAGGTGACCCTGCAAAGGGTATGATTTACTACATCAATTCAAGAGGATCTCAAGGTCAATGGGAGACCACATGTGGGTCGTGTGAGGCGATTTAATTAATCGGTGGTCAGGTTCATTGACCCCCGACGGCGTGTATCGCAATATCAGTCACTGGATTGTCTGGTCCAGACTCGATTATTTAAATGCCGCTGTTACATAGCTGGAATATTATTTAGTGCGGCGGTATGTAACGAACGCACACATGATCCAATTAAAGACTATTTCGCTTTTCATTCGTTTGAAGGGACTCTGGCAATTAATGGAATATTTTGACAGAAACGTATCATTTGTGGTGTATGCATGACATCTCACTAAAGACCGACCCATCTTCAGCAACCCATGCTTGCCGTAAAAGGCGACCATGCTTGTTGTAAATGACGACTAACGGAATCGGGTGGTCAGCCTCGCTGACTTGGTTGATACATGTCATCGATCCCAATTGTGCGTATCGATGCTCATGATGTCAATCACTGGATTGTCTGGTCCATAATCGATTATTTTACAGACCGCCATCATACAGGTGGAATATTGCTGAGTACGGGGTTAAACAACAAAACAACAACCAATCACTAAAGCACGATTTTAAGGAAGTAAAGTACCCTCTACACATGCAACTTGTCAGGTGTCACAGGAAGAATGTTACTCTTAGTATCAATCACTGGTTTGTTGCGCCCAAACTCGATTATGTACAGTTTCTGAATGCCATTAGGAAATTTCATTTGAAGATCAAACTAATGATAAAATCAACTGAGAGATATAGTTTCGTTTGCTCCTCGGCAAAATATATATATTGAAGAGGCTGATATGAAAATATGTAATATGTGTTTCAGTTGCGTCGCACAGTATGGTTGTTGATCAACACGCTTACTCCTACATTGCATTATTCGATGCGATCCCTCATAGGAAAGAAACTGCAGGTATTAAAATGGTTTCTTGATTACGTTACAATTTTCCGTTAGTGTTGAATGTGTTTATATGTGGTATGAACTACATGACTGAGTCTCTGTCTCTGTGGTTCTAGTAGTTGCCGACAATGCACCTGACACGGACTGCTCCCTCAGCAATAAAGAATCCGAGGACAGCCAATACCTAACTCTTGGTAAGATGGTGTACAGAGAATCTCACACTCGTGTCTTCAGAGATCAAATATAACAAGACAATTTAATCAAAGTTATCGGAAGCTTTTTTTCAACTTTTATTAACGAGTCTTGATATATTTGATCATAATTTGATGTATAATCCTAAATCATTCTTCTAACTTTTCAATTTGTAAAGAATAATAATAAGTATCTTGAGTGTAAAACGTTCAGCTGGCCAGCTTCAGAAGCAGAGAAATTAGCGATGTACATATAGCTACAGTGGACAAAAATAATTAGTAGTGCAGTTGGAGTGAGCATCAACATTTCATACATATATTTCAATTAGATTATGATTCTATCTCAATTTGCTCTTCAACGCTGTTATTTTCCTTAAACGTATTGTGATAATCAATGCCGCTAGGAATCTCTGAAATTAGAGAAAAACACATCTACAGGTCCTAGTTCTATAGTAAAAGGTAATATTAGTACGTTAAACCCAACAGCGAGTCTATTCAAAACTAAGTAATATCGCTACATGCCATATACATTTCCATATCCGCCTCTGTCAATATATATGGATTTGTGTAATATGTTTCAGTCATGGCGCCCAGTATGATTCTCAGTGGACACACTTAAACCAACATTACAGATTCCGATGCAGGTATTAAACTGGTTTCATGATCAGGTTTTTATTTTTGCTGTCGGTGGTTAGTGTTAATTGACTAGCCTTTGCATGTGTTTGTGGCTGATGCAACCAGTGGGACCACCTGGTATCCTCACCATCATGATTGTAACTACACTCCACCCACCCACTCACTCACTTCCCCGCGGCTCCTGTCTATTGTATTATATATGTAATAAAATTAGCAATATGCATATACGTTGGCAGACATTTATACCATTTAGAGCGTTTTCAATAACACGGTTTGTCTTTACATAGACATGTCTTTTTATAGAATCTATATCAATGTGTTAATTAGGTGATGCTACTACTTTGTTACCATAGAAACACAAGGTATCTATTTGATTCAGATGCTGGTGCACCATTTCCCATTGGCGAGGCCGCAAACACGCCACTGACATGCCAGCCCGCCCCAGCTCCACATCACAGCTATACACAGTTGTCTGCCCAGCCACGGGTGCAGGCCTTGGGTGATATGACCTCGAACAAAAGTCAATATGAGAATATATCTGTGTCAAATACCTGTGTTAACTGTTCGTGTACCTGAACTTGCTGATACGTCAATGACCGGTTCATGTTTATACGCTTTTGTGAAAGCTTTAAGATTTGCGTTCATGCAGATCAAATCAAATTGTTTGTCGGCATGTAACACGTGGGACGAGTTACACTGAAAGGAAATGTTCAAAATAAATAGTGATTATTTTGTATGTACTATGCCATTTATCCAAGCTGTGTAAATGGTACTGGTAAACATCCATACCTTGTTGTTGTAGCTATCGCCAATGTCAGCTACACCTGTTTCGACTTATTATCTCCTACGTAGGACTTATTATCTCCTACGTAGGACTTAGTAGGAAATACTAAGTCCTACGTAGGATATATCTCCTACGTAGGACTTAGTATTTCTTACGTAGGTCTTAGTATCTCCTACGTAGGACTTACTATCTCCTACGTAGGGATATTAAGTCCTACGTAGGATATAGTGATTCTAGGCCCTACTAAGTCCTACGAAAGAGATAGTAAGTCCTACGTAGGAGATAATAAGTCCTACGTATGAAATACATAGATAAAAGAAATATCACCGTGGCCCTACTACGCTTCCGTAGATAACCGATAAACAAGGAGTTGCCACGGGTTTTTTGTAAATAACGAAGTAGTACCTTCTTGACCCTTTGCATATTTTTCCGTAACTTATCCTGACGGAGGCCGTTTCTGTCAGCTACGCCTCATTTAGATGCTGATTTTTGGTATCTTAGGTATTTATTTTGATAATGGAACAACTGCCGCAGTAACTTGTCACAGTTCACGATGGTAAATTATGACTCGATAGCCGATAGACAAGGAGTTGCCATAGTTTTTTTTGTAAATACCGAAGTAGTACCTACCTGACCCTATGCATATTTATCCGTAATTGACCCGGACGGAGGTCGTTTTTGTTCGTTTGCCCTATTCTACCGAGTCCCCACCCACTATAAGAAAAAAAGTGATTCCTGATTTGTAGTTCTCTATTGTCACTGTCCATATTGTTGTGTACAGTGCGTGTGTGAAAGATATTTGGCAGCGCGTGTTCCAGAAGCATGTAACCTTAACTTGAATCACGTGTTGCGGAAGGAAATCTGTGATACTTTTACCACAACCTAATAATAGAACAGAATAATAATTTGCAACATAATTCATCGTTGTATGTGTACAACATTGAAAACAGATAAGAACGTGCGGCCTGTACCTGTGAGAGCCTGCCTCAAATTGATCTGCTAAAAGGTGTTTCACAAGATTCTTTTAACAGGTTCAGCATTCTTCGGCTGAATATGTTAGGCGGTAGAACGTTCAACATTTAACTCTTGCGCAGTTTGACGAAGCGTTGTCCCAAATTGAAATCACGCTTTTCCCTATGTATTGCACTAATTTCTATTTTTCTGTCGAAGAGTTCAAATATAAATTAGCTTGACTTTCTGTCTGCATTCTATGAAAGCCCGATGGTGACACTTTGGGAGATATATCGTTTTTACATCGAATTTTCTCGTTATTTTAATTATTTGTTTATTTTCTCGTTTTTTTCGTTACTTCGATTAGATTTTCTTTTATTTCAATTATTTTCCCGTTATTTCTAGTGTCCGAGTGGGCGTATTTGTGCGTGCGTTTGTATGTATGTAATGTTGTTTTGTCAACACGTATTCGTTAGTGTTAGCATTTAATGCATTTAGTTCATGTAGGCCTCTGACACCACAGGGCGTCCGCCTGTAGAGCGGAATGTCCGGGGTTCAAATTCCGGCCACATCATACCCAAAAGACGTTTAAAGATGGTACTTGTTGTTACCCTGTCTATCGCTCGGCATTAAGTTGTTTAAACAAGAACTGGTCTTGCTCGGAGTCAGTATACTGTGTCTGAGTGGGTATTCATGTTAAACTGCGGCATGGTATCTCAGTGGGCTAGCACTATTGATTCAGCATTAATCCGGACTAGTACAAGCAGTCACACACACGTGCATGCACGTCACTAAATAAGTGCAATAATCTTGGACGCGACGTTAAACCCCATGTCACCTCACCTCACCTGTCTGTTTTTATGTGTGTATGAGAGTGTGTGTGAGCGTGTAAAGTGGTGTTTTCAACGCGTGTGGATTTGGCACATAATACAGTTAGTTCATCTGTTTGTGTGAGTCTGTGTGGCTGTGTGTTTATGTCTGTGCGTGTGTGTGTCGTCGTGAGTGTGGGCGTGGGTGTTCGCCCGTGTGTATGAAGTGTGTAAAGGGGTTGTGTTTAGGGTATATAAAAGTAGTTATACTTCTGACCACATTAACTTTAATACCAATAAAAGTATGTACAGTTTGTTGTTGATAATCACTAATGACCTCTTGTTTTTGATGATTCTAACAGTCTTTACATGAGCATGTCCACGCATGTACGTACACCTTTGAAATAAAACTTGTATATGTACGAAACAACATCTAGTAACTGATTTATTTACCATAAGGCGTGGAACGTTGCTCACAATATCAATCACTGGTTTGTCTGTGCAGAATAAGAAGCCGGACTATTGCTGACTGTGGCATTAACTCACTCATTCATATGGTGACAATACAGTGACCTTGATTATTCCCGACAATAAGGCGTCTGCCCGGTGAGGATAATGTGGGTCATATGATCACTTGGTCGTCATCATACCAAGGACGTTAACAGATGACCCTGTGGTCTGAGTGGGTATCAATGTCACACTGCGGCATGATATGTCAGTGGGCTAGCACCATAATACCGTCATGAGTCCAGACTAGAACAAGCATGCACACACAGCACACACACACACACACACACACACACACACACACACAGATACTGTACATATATTCATGCACTGTACACACACAGACACACACACAGACTAACGAACAAGGACACACACAGAGGAACACACACGAATACACACACGAACAAATACATTAACTCACAAACGAACATGCACACGTATGTACTGTAGCTCTGATAACAACTATCATGGTTGCTTGTTTAACGGGTGCATAATAAAGTGGCTCAACTGATTCAGGATATTCTGAACTGCTTGAAAGTTGTTTGTATTAATGCTCATGTAAGGCTATCAGCAGCGATAGGGGGAATGAAACTGTTTCCTCTCTCCAAAAGTGTTTAGCATATAATTTCATTATTCATTCATTTGAATTTAATCAGCGTATTTAGCTGGGTGTATCCCAACAGGAAAATACTTTATCTCAGAGGAAACTTGTTTAAATAGGTTTCACAAGTGTCGCACGTTCGTTAAACTGATGTACAGGTCATAAACAGCCCTCATGATCAGATGGAGGTTGTGTACACTTACCTGTAAGTATCAAACTTCCTAATTATTAATTCGCCACGCTTAAACAATCGACTGTAAATTGACATGAAGCTTTATCCAGTTACATATACCAAGTTCCATACTTATTATATCTGATGTACAGACTTTCGAGTCTCCTCTACTTTGGCTGATATTATAAAACCTTGTTAAAAAAGTTCTCTTGTCTCATTAACAATGATTATCTTTCACAGAGGCAGAATGTCAAGTTCCCCTCTGATGTTATACACTGTTGCATTTATTACCGCTGTGAGTGGGCAAGGTCAGTAACTGTTATCATCATTATAATTGTAGTAATGTTCATGTGGTGTGTTCAAAGTTAAAAGGGAATTATGAAAACATAACCAGCTATTGCTCATTTGATCCATAATATATGTAATACAATAGTTTTACACAACCGCGAGTAGATAGTGAATTCTTTTATGCTTCGGGGAGGAGGGAAGTTTTAAAACTGGTAGTCTAGATCACGTACCTCGTGTACCCCTCTGGTACAA